TTTTTTTTAAGAGCATGCATTTTATTCTATTATTCCTAGTATTCTACAATATGGCATTAGAGGAGTCAACATGTTGTCCTGAAAATTCAGGCTTCCTTTCATCTGTTAGTCATCAAGAAAGAATTTTCACTCATCTTTATCATAAACTCTGCATATCATACTATTTGTGGTATTTTTATTAAATTCAAACCCTTCCTGCTTTACTGTCTTGAGCAACTGAAATGAAATTGGAACAGGTCCAGTTGTCTTTAATGTAGACAATCTAAAAGTGGATCAGTCCAAGCGGACATTGTACATTCATATGCAATTTTTTTCTGAAATAGAAGGAATTTGCGCTTAGAAAAAAATGTGTGTGATAATTAGCATTCAGATGCTGCAGTAATCAGCAGATCATACCACTACGAAATTCAGAGTTCGTATGTTCTCTTGTAGTTGAGATCTTCTGCTTATACCTTCAGGGCTACAGAATCACTTTGGGAGTTCACGTCTAGCTCATTATATCGTGGTTGTGACTTTTTTTGGAGCCACTGCACAGAACAGGAAAATTGTCTACACTATCTGTACAGGGTCACCCGCATTTTCTGTTTGCATATGTATGACTCTATCTTCAAACACATTAAAACACACACTTTGTTTGAAACCTGTTTACCAGATAAATCAAATTGTCACTGTATCTGTTGTCTTTGACCTTTACTACATTTCAGTCCTTGAGTAATCTGTACACTTTATTGGTGATGACAGCATATCTTCCTCCAGGTCCCTGGAAAAAAACAGTAAATAGTAGGTGGATGAAAGGTGATGGTGCTGTAGGTTGTCTGAGATTAAAACAAGCGATCTGATTGAAGTCAGATGACTGCAGCCATGACTGAAGTCACTGGGAATTCCAGTCCTCATTTTGATTCAGATTTTCTTGGGAAATAAAAACTAAAACTATCTTCAAAATAGCAAGTGGTTTAAAACACCATTGTCTCTTCTGGCAGAGTAACCTGGCCTTAACAAGGATGGGAATCAAAAATCTAAGTTTAAAGCAAGAATTTAAAAATCTTTGTTGAGATATGTCTGTTCATAACATTCTTTGTATGTTTTTATCCCTCTGCAAGAAGTCTGCACAGCCCAATTTCTGTCCTTTATGAGATAATTTTTTGTTGGTTTTTCTTTATGAGGAGGCCTACAGTTTCTTTGGCTGTGTTGGTCTTTTAACTTTTTTTTTAGTAGAGCTATACTTTGATCCAAATGCAAGTAAGCATAATACAAGTTGGTCTGAAATTAACAATAAAAGAAAATAGTTCATGAGCTGAAGGTATTTTACTCTTTGCTGGTGCGTAACAATGGAACACATCCTAAGTCTAGGAATGCGTATCTTTGCGTAGGTAGGTTATTTCCATAAGTTGTTCATGGTGTTTAATATGGGAAATTCTCCAGATGGGATTTTCTGCTGATCTGATAAAAGACAGTAGATTAGACTTGGAACTCCTGGCCATTTGTATTCCTCATAAATGATGGCTTTAATATCAGTCTGTAATTGTTTCATAGTTACTACTTATTTCATTGCATTTCATTATTCACCACATAAGCATGCATTTCATACTTAGCAGAAACAGATATATTGGTTCCAACAATTTTTTTGTACTCATTACTTTAAATTCTGTTCTGGTTTTCAGCTTTTCTTTTATTTTTTTATTGGTTGTCTCTAAAATGCTTGCTCAATTAACTTTTAATTTTTAATTTTTGCTTTGTGGGAGGCTTTATGGTCAGTTAGTTATAATGTTCAAGACTATATTGTATTGTTATACAGAAATTATTTAAAAAACCAAAAGGGGATGTGTGTGTAAAAATTCCCCCAATAAAACAAAATACTTATTTGTTTCCTTTAAATTTCCATTTCTATTTTTTCTTATTGCTTACAAATTGAAAATCTTGTTTTATTATTTACAAATTCAGAAAAAATGCATACTGAGGACAGTTAGGTGGATGAACTACAATCTTTAAATTCTTAAATATTATCTGTCATTTATTTATGAGACCCATTTTTTTCAGTGGTTTATTCAAAACGAGTGGAGATCTAACAGAAAAGCACTTGCTCCCCTCTGTAAGATCCAATCTGGAATGTTAAGGTGAGAGGGAGGCAGCTGATCAGCATAGACCGTTTCCAATCTCATCTTTCTGTGTCATCACGCTGCCTTGGCACTGGGACTAAAACAATCTCTGGTCACTTAGTAGGTGTTGGGAACTTTTTTTCCGTTAGCTGACCCTAATCTTAACTGTAGTGGCTGATGATCTCTTCCTCCCTAGGATGAAAGAAAGACCAGAGTACTCTTACTGAGGCAGCGTTTTTGTCTGATGAATTTTTTTTCCCACACCAAAGAGCGTTCACAGTGCTACATTTTTCTTTTAATAAAAGAGAGCATGGCAAAGAGCAGAAGATTCGTGCTACGGATCTTGCTTTGCAAGGGTTAAGTTGAGTTTTTGGAGCCATGGCTTGAACACAGGGCTGAAGGCAGAATGATGAGAGATGTACAGCGCAAATCAGAATTGCGTATCTCTAGGTTTAAGACTGCTTCTCAGCTTTCCCTCAGTCCTCCGATTTTCCTCATTGTGGCACAACTATAGCAACTGCTAATGATGAACCAAATGTGTAATATTTCTCTTTGCCAAATGCGGAAGATCCCAGAGCAAGTGGTGACTTGATCCAGTACACATGGGAGCCTGTTTTACTGCCCCATTGCAGGGAATCATTTTAAGGCTAATGATTCTTGATGGCAATGACTGCTGCTTTATCGGATTTGGAATTGCATTTAATTGAGGGGCCGCTGGAGATTTAGTTGTTCTTACTTCCTCGCACATCCTATTTTCATGCTAGTTTCTATTTGTTTGCTCTTTTAAGAACATCACGGTGGCTCCCAGTGTAGCTGTTACATACACACAAAAAATTATACACAGTGGGCCAATAGACTGGGAATTTACCTCTGCTCGTTAATTCAAAGGTATAGGATTCCGTTAGTCGCTCATATGGTTTCTAAGGGAAGAAACAGAAACCTGTAAATACGGAGAGCATATTTTATGTATATGGTATGTATGTAGTGTGAAGTCTTCACCTCTTCACTGGAAACCACTATTTTACCCAGTTTGTTTGAATTTGTGAGTGTTGATCATTATATATTTATTGTTAAAATTTCAACTTAATTTACAGGTTTTTTTCTGTCCTTTCTGATTTTTACTACATTCACTTATTTTGGGAAGTCTGGAAGTACATCAATCCTGTTCTGGTTTTGCTCATCATATACAATGATTTTTGAAACTATTCCATGTTGCTGAGCAATATGTTAGGAAGTATTATGTGCAATTATGATTTATATGCACTTTGAAGAAATAATTTTTCTTTTTTTTTCCCCAGGAATTCTAGAGGTTTTACACTGTGTGTTGGTGGAAAGTCCAGAAGCTCTAAACATTATTAAGGAAGGACATATTAAATCAATCATCTGTCTTTTGGACAAACATGGAAGAAACCACAAGGTAGGCAAAGAAGAGACAAGCATATTTAGGTGAATGTTTGTGAACAAAGCAAGCACGTTTTCCTGTGTAGAAGTTAGATTTCAAATGCTTTAATAGTGTATTCATAATTAGGAATGAAACTTTTCCTAAAAGCCATAGGAGCAGTTTGAACGTTGTTATCTTTCTGATGAGAACACTAATATACATTAATTCTCAAGGGAAGCAGGAAGAATATATCTTAATATTATTAGGAGAATTTCAGAACTGTTGTAAAATAAAACTGTTATGTTGGATGAATTAAACATCCTTACATGTCTTCCAGTAACAAGGTATATAGCATTATATTTCCGGAAGTAACTCACAGTGATTATGAAAAAATATTGAAGATTAAAAGAATCTATTTTTTTTCAGGTTTTGGATGTTTTGTGTTCTCTCTGTGTTTGTCATGGAGTAGCTGTGCGGTCTAATCAACATCTAATCTGTGATAATCTCCTGCCAGGAAGAGATCTGCTCTTACAGACGCGCCTTGTCAACCATGTGAGCAGGTAAAAAGAAAAAGTCTGTATCTATGAACAAAACAGAATAAAACTTGTGGTTAAAAGAAATAGTCACTGCAGAAGACCTGTTTTACTTCCAAAACTTTTGTTAAGATATTTTATTCTTACTAGGATTTTAAATACTCTTTGCAATATTCATTAGAATCAAAACATGGGTCCGAGCGAGCTACCGCAAGCTAAAGCTGCTCCAAACTGTTCTAAGTCTGTGAAACTGTAGTCTCTTCTAAAGCTTCTTGTCTAGATCTAGCTGTGCTTTCAAAGTATTGTCAGCCAGTGTCCTCCGGTTGCCTTTATGTTTGTGAACTTGTGAGGATTTCCTAATCACCTCTGGTTAAAATCAATAACTTGGTGCTAAACGCCTTCACCAGTGCCTGGGATATTTAGGGAGTGCCCTCACCCCTCGTGCCACTGGCAGAGCTGTAGAAGCTACCTTCCAACAAACGTTAATAACAAGATGAAACTAGTAACATCTTAAGCTAGCAAAGTAATATTTGCAAAGTAAATGTTTATCCAGAGTTTGAATTTATGCTGAGCCAGAAGAATCTGGCTTTAAGTGAAGATTCATGGGATCTTCCTCTGTCTCAAACTTATGTCCATTTTAAAAAGTCTCAATCATTAAGTGCGAATTAAAGTTGAAACACAGAAATAGTACTTATAATTCAGAGTTCATAGGATTTATTAGACGCTGAAAAACATTAAAAAATCCACAACTGTATATTATAAGGAGGCCTTTTCAAGTCTAAAGGTGAAATGAACTTCACAATTGTATAGCTAATACATTCACTCATATTTTTCGTAACCACGTGTGACTTGACTTCCCCCAACACATCCAATAACACACCAACATATATAACACATGGAGAGATGGTGTAATGGGAATCATTTCAGGTCAACAATGAATTTGAACAACTGATAGGCTAAAATCACCAATGAAAACTTCTGTTAAAAATGCATGAGAAGAAATTTTAAATGTGTGGGTACTGATTGAGCTTCTGAGCTGACTTTGGGTCTTGTACAGGGAAGGTAGAGCTGTCTTCCCCAAATACGGCTGTAGACAAAGCAAATGTAGTTAGTGCATATTTTTACTCTTCATTAGAAAGTTGTGAATGAGAATATTTATATTCTTGCAGTTGTAAAGAAAAAAGATTGTTTTTTCAAAAGTCGGAAAGACCAATGAAACTTTGAAAACATTTAGTGATAGACTGAGACTTGCATACCTTACACCAAAAAGAATTGGCAAAGGAACTTTCTAAGATATTGCTGTTTAACATACTTTTCCAGGGGACTGGAAAATTCTATTCACAACCCTCTATTTAAAAAGAGTAAGTTGGACAACAATCAATTAGGTTGATTAAATTGTGGAGTCTGGACAAAGGCATAATAAAGCTGATACTGTGTTCAGGCAGAGAAGATTCAATTGGTGATCTTACCAATAACTTACAAATGATTTGACTTTTATGGAAGATAGCTTTTGTCAAACAGGTTTTGTTTATATTTTTAAGGAGATTGAAAGTTTGACTTGTGACCAAGTGAGGAGTATCTATACTCAAACTTCTGGCAAAAGACACCCCATATACTTCTAGAAGGAAAGTGTATTACTCTTATGTGATAAAACAAGTTATTTTATAAGCAATCAGATCAGTAAAGTCTACTTTTATGCTAACTTGTATTTAACAGCCCATATCAGCCCTTCTTCCTCCCCCTGCATTCCCTACACCAGAAGGCAAACTGTGCGCTGCAGCAGGCTTAGAGCTACATTTTTGTTGATTAGGCAGCTTGTATGTAGAAAGAAAATAATTATAGAAGTTATAACCCAGTCCCAGTGGAGGGGTGTGAAAACTGGATGCATCCAGCCTAGAAGTCTAAAAGATTTTTTACAATATGGGTAACCAACCATTGAGGAAATATACTTAGCATTGATTTTGGATACTTCTGTACTCTGTGGATTTACCTCGAGATTGGATGGCTTGCTTAGTATAAAGCTGACCCCGTAATGATTATCTGGAGACAGATTTTTTGGGATGAGACTCTAGATTTGGTATTATACCCAAAATCAGATTAGAAAAGCATGGGTTTCTTTTTTTAACCTCATGACCTTTAGACATATGACTCTACATGTTACTATTTAAGTAGATATTGAATAAGCACAGTAGTAGTTTTGCCATTCAAGTGTGCTTGTGAAGTACTTTAAAGTAATCAGCAATAGGAACATCAAATTGATATTAAGGATTGGTACAGCCGCTGCAAATTACTGAGTCACACAAGATTTGGAATAAGGAAGTAGGAGGTACAAGAGAAGTTTGAAATATTCTGACACTTTACTTTTGTATCTTTGTAAATGTTATTCCCTTGAGTGGACAGAATGCAGTTTGCTATGTAAAATTAAACCTGCAGTGTGTATGTGCTACATTTCTATTGGTAACTGGTGAATAGCTGTCAGTTTTGTTTGTGGGATTTATATTAACATAAAATATTATTATTATTGATATCTGAATGAGGATACTGTTTCAGTTACTGAAAGAAACACTTTTTAAATTTAACTGTATAGAGCATTTTTCACCAGAATTAATAAATAAACAAATAAATAAATATACTGCCTTCTGGAAGCTAAAGTCCGAGATGTTGCCAAGGGGGTGCCCCAACTTGTTAAGAGCACAGACTACTATCCATCGCTACTCTTTCACGTGGGCATGAATGACACTGCAGGCCGGAACCTGGGCAGAATCAAGGAAGACTACAAAACCCTGGGAGTGCAAGCGAAAAGTATTGGTGCCCAAGTTATCTTTACTTCCATTTTACTAGTTAGAGGAAATGGTGCAGACAGAAATAGGTATATAATGCACATCAACTTCTGGCTTCATGGCTGGTGCCATCATGAGGGTTTTGGCTTTTATGACAGCTGGACATTCTTCATGACTATAGCCTGTTAGGGAGGGATGGGATCTGATGGCCTGTTAGGAAGGGATGAAATCCAACTGTGGAGAAGAGGCAAGGGAATCTTTGGCAACGGGCCAGCCAATTTGGCGAGACCGACTTTAAACTGAAGGACTCAGAGTGTGCGGTCCAAAGTGGCAACACTTATGCTGTTGCATCCAACAGGGGGATAAGCCAGGTCAACGAGAGCAGCAACAAATGTTCCTTAGCTACCTCCCAAGATGAGAACCAGAGGACCAGCCACCTCAAGGGTACATATACTAATGCACACAGTCCGAGGAACAGACAGGAGGAACTGGAGCTCCATGCCCAGTCAGAAAGTTATGATATCATAGGAATAACTGAAACATGGTGGGACAACCCTCATTACTGGAGGATCGCAATGGATGGCTATAGGCTGTTTCGTGAAGACAAGCAGGGAAGAGGAGGAGGAGAAGTCGCGCTTTATGTTAAGGAGAACCTTGAATGTATAGAAGAATGCAATTGTGGAAGCCGTATCAAACGCCTCTAACTCAAGATCAGAGAGGTTGTCTCCAAGAGGGATCTTACAGTAGGCATTTACTACTGACCTTCAAACCAAGACAATAAGGCCAAAGAAGCAATATTTGGGTCACTTAAGCAAGCTTTGGGCCAACAGAACCTGGTTCTTACGGGTGACTTCAACTACCCAGATATTTGTTGGAAGAACAGTACAGCAGCTCACATGTCATACATCAAGTTCCTGGAATGCATAGAGGACTGTTTCCTCATACAAATGTTAGATGTGCCAACTAGGAATGAGGCACTGCTGGACTTGCTACTCGCAAACCAAGAAAACGGGCTTTGTAATATCTCGGTTAGTGACAGCCTTGGCTGCAGTGATCACAGTACTGTGGAGTCCGGGATCCTGCTGAGTGTGCTTAAGGTTAGTACTAAGACAAAGATTTTAGATTTTTAGAAGAGCAGCTCAGTTGGGAGGGATTCCCTGGGAAGCTTCCATGGAGGGTAAAGGAGCTAGTGAGTGCTGGGAGTTTTTCAAGAATGTTCTCCTGGAATCACAAAACCAGTTCATCCTCTTTAAAGGTAAGAGAAGTAGGAAGTAGCCCCTTGGCTTAACTGCGAGCCTCTGAGTCTGCACAGAACCAAAAGAGAGGCGTACCAGAGGTGGAAAAGCAGATGAATACCCATTGAGAACTACAAGGGTGTGCAGAGATGCAGTTACAAAAGCAAAAGCTCAGCTTGAATTGAAATTAGCCAGAGATATCAAGAACTACAAGAAAGCGTTCTTCAGATACGTAAACAACAAGCAGAAACAGAAGGAAAATATTGTCCCGCTGTTCAACAGGAGAGGTGAATTAGTCACCAACACCGAAAAGGCAGAGATTCTCAACATTTTCTTTCCCTGTGTCTTTACCAGCACAGTTGGGCCCCATGCCTCAGGAACAAAAATCCAGATTGATGCAAACACAGACAAACCGTTAGTGAAGGAAGAGTTGGAATGTAAACTATTATAGGAGCTTCACCCCTACAAATCGATGGGCCCTGACATTATCCACCTGAGGGTGTTAGAAGAGCTGGCTGATGTCATTGTGAGACCACTCTCCATAATCTTTGAGAAGTTGTGGAGATCAAGGGGTGTCCCAGAAGATTGGAAGAAGGCTTATGTCACCCCCATCTACAAGAAGGGCTTGAAGGAGGATCCTGGAAATTATAGGCCCATCAGTCTGACTTCAGTCCCTGGGAAAGTTATGGAATAAATCCTCCTGGGGGCTATCACAAGTCAAATGAAACATGGGCTTGGGAAAAGTCAGCATGGATTCACCAAGGGCAAGTGGTGCCTGACAAACCTGATCACCTTCTGCAACAAAGTCACCTGCTCAGTTGATGTGTGGTGAGCGGTGGACACGGGGAACTGGCTGAGGGGCCACACCCAAGGGGGTGGTGGTCAACAGCTCCTTATCAAACTGGTAACCTGTCACAAGTGGAGCCCCCCAGGGATGAATACTGGGCCCAACGCTGTTTAATATCCGCATAAGTGATCTGGGTGATGGGATCAAGTGTACCCTGATGAAGTTTGCTGATGTTACCAAACTGAGTGGGGAAGTGGATGCTCTGGATGGGAGAACCACCCTGCAGAAAGACCTGGATAGGCTGGAAGAGTGGGCTAACAAGAACCTTATGAAGTTCAACAAGGCCAAGTGTGAGGTCTTGCACCAGGGAAGACATAATCCAGGAGCGCAGCACAGGTTAGGATCTCCCCAACTGGGGAACAGCTCTGTGGAAAGGGACCTGGGGGTCCTGGTGGACAACAAGGCCAATATGAGTGAACAGTGAGCTGCTGTGGCAAAGAAAGGCAACAGGGTGCTGGGTTGCATCAGCAAGGGCATCACCACCAGAGAGAAATAACTCATTATCCCACTCTACTCAGTGCTTGTCAGGCCACCTCTGGAATACTGTGTTCAGTTTTGTTCCTCGCTGTACAAAAGAGTTGTGGGCAGGTCCAGAGTAGTGCTACAAAGATGATCAGAGGACTAGGATGCCTGCCATGTGAAGAAAGGCAGAGAGAACTGGGTTTGTTCAGCCTTGAGAAAAGATGGCTTAGGGGAGACCTTATCATCATGTTCCAGTATTTCAAGGGTCACTACAAAGAAGATGAAGAGTCCCTTTTTACAAGGAATCGCAGGGTACAAGTTACTGCTGGGGAGATTCCAATTGAACACAAGAGGAAAATTTTTCACGATGAGAACAATCAACCTTTGGAATAATCTCCCCAGGGAAGTGGTGGGTTCCCCAACACTGGGCACTTTGAAGATTCAGCTGGACAGGGTACTGGGCCATCTTGTCTAGACCGTGCTTTTGCCAGGAAAGGTTGGGTCAGATGTTCCTTGAGGTCCCTTCCAATCTGGTATTCTATGATTCTAAAAAATAAAATTACTTCTATTGTTTTAATGCCACAAAGCAAGCATGAAATTTGAGTTTAATGAGAAGTTTGCAGTAATTCGTCATGTTCGTAAGATAAGTGTTTAATAACCACTTTTATTCTTTCTGTTTAAGCATGCGACCCAACATCTTCTTGGGGATTAGTGAAGGCTCTGCCCAATACAGAAAATGGTACTATGAACTTATGGTGGACCATCTTGAGCCTTTTGTGACCGCAGAATCAACTCATCTACGAGTGGGCTGGGCTTCAACAGAGGGCTACTCACCCTATCCAGGGGGAGGAGCAGAATGGGGAGGAAATGGTGTTGGTGATGACTTGTATTCCTATGGCTTCGATGGTCTGCATCTGTGGTCAGGTACTCTCCTGGTTTTTTGTGTTTTGGTTTGGTTTTTTGTTTGTTTGTTTTTCCTTTTAAATACTAGAACATTGTTTGCAGTTCCAGTGAATTTGTTTTCAACTGCAGCAAAGTGAATCAGATGTTTCAGTTGACACCAAGAATATACAGAAACAGTACTCTATGTCAGAATGTGGTTTAAGTTGACATTGCATATTGAAAAAATTGTTTTATACAACATAATGCAGATAGACTAATAATTTATATTTCAGCCTGGGAATAATTATTTTTTTTTTCATAATAACGCTAAAGATTTAATTTAAAACTTGAAAAGTGCAAAAATTGAAGTCTGACAAATGGTTGTCTGGATTTGTAATTCCTGTGTGATAGTGTAAGAACAGCCTGAGAGATGTAATTCACAGGACTCTCTTTTAAAAAAAATGTTTTTAATATGGATCTTTAGTTTAGAAGTTTAGAAATACTTTACAGATGAAGAAGATTTTAAGTATGCTTTTGTCATACATTTTAAAACCAGATATTTTTCTGTAGTGATGTTTTATTTACGTACATTAAGACTGACTGTTTATTTCAGGACTTGCAGAATCATAATCCTAGCTTGCATATGGTGTGTTTGGTCAGTTGTTCATCTTTAAAATGTTATTGGCCCAGCTTGGATCTATTCGTTAATAGTAATTTCTGTGTGCAAATTCTAGTATTAAAGGAAGCTGAACTGTATTTGTAAAGTATTTGTATTTACTGTTGATTTTGCAAATATTTTATTCTCTCTTCAAGCTGGGTTATCTCAGCAAAATCAGAATAATAAGAAAGCAAGCTTGTTCTCTTTCTCTTAATCTTTTTAATATAATTCAACTTTCATGAAAAGATTGCCAGGTATCATTTAGAATGCGTAGTTCTACACTTGGACAGTCCTAAAGTTCTTGAAAAAAGTTTCTACTGTGGTTTCACGTTGTTGAGTAAAAATTTTTTCCTTTAATTTTGAGAAATTATTGGGCAGCCTTGAACTGTAGAACTTGGTTAGGCTCATTGGATTGGCAATTCTTGCACTGTGAAGATACGAGCAAATTTTCTAAAGCTCCTTAGCAGACAAGACAGACATTGTAGTGAGTCAGCTGTATGTATCATTCAAGGTCTTTGGAGTTTTGAGGCCTTGTGGCTTGGTAATTTGAAAAGAATAGTGGTTTACATTTCCAAAGAATTTTCCAATCAAAATAGCTATGGATTGTATTATTAAGTAGTAACGCATTGACTGGAGTGGCATCTTAGGAAAGTAGCTGCCACTTTGCCTCTCATGTATAGTGAAAATTACTTTGGAACAATGATGCATAGTTAATGGTGCCATTAAAGCTGAGTCATAACTGAGTTTATCAGACAAAGTATTATTACTGAAATAACTTTTGTAGTTAGGGTCCCTTTTAAGGAAGAAACAAAAGATTACTGAAAATCAAAATTATTCTTCTACCCACCAGAAACTTTTTAATCAGAAATGTCACAAAAGAATAAATGAACAGTTGTTTGTGGTTCTCAAGTCAATAATCCAGTCCAGTCGAAAAAGTTAGACCACCTTTGTATATGCAGCTTGTGTGCATTAATCTCTGTTGTGATGTGTCTGGTTGAGTTGAAAAGATTTCTGCCTTTATTGACATTCTCGTGTAACACATACCTCTCAAACTTGGAAGGATTTTAAGTAGTTCAGTGTTGAAAGTTGTGGCCTGCCTTTTTCTTCCACAATACCAGGCTGCATCTTGGTAAATCTGTGCAATGGCATTTTAAAAATAATCTGAGCATGAAGCATTTACTGCATTAATGAATAGCAACAATAATTTCTACCCCTGAGTTTCTGTTCTGGACCAAACCTTTTATTATTATAGATTTCTCAATTTGTGAGGGGCCCTTTGGATTGCTCCATGTCATTCCCCTGTCTTTGCTCGTGGAACTGACTATTCTTACAGCAACTGAGCTAAGGACATCCTGTCTTGAAAGGAAAAAAAATTTCTTTATTTTTGCTACTGTTAAAAACATATGCTGTCTTCATCTTCTTGGAAATATCGTACTTTTAGTTAAGTCCTTCATGTTTACCAAAGTTGGACAGCATAGTTAAAAAGTTAGTGCTCTGTTCTTAATATGCATTATGATTTATCTCTTGCAGACATTGCATATGTTATTTTTGGAAAACTTGTCTAGAGATATTTTCATACAACTTTCATGCTTTTCCATAAATTTTCTGTTCTAGATGGCAGTAAATTTCAGAAACAGTCATTTTCTATTTCTGTATTCTATAGGTTGTTTCTCTTTTCTCTTGGGAAGCAGGTGTGCTTGTGTAAATATAATTTGATGTAAGAGAGAAAGGTCCTTTAGAATTCATACAAAACTTACTAAAGAAAAATACATATATTACTGAATATGTATGCCTCAAATTTGCTAGTGTCTTTGTATATGCTAGAAAAATGCTGGTTTGTGGTTTGATTATGAAACTGCATATACTAGGTTTCATATTCGATACTAATCATTGTTTTTCAATTTGCACTTCTACTACTGTGAGGAATAAAATTTAGGTTTCTTGGTTTTGACTGTTTATATGGGTATCGGTGATTATTTTCACTTACACTAAATGTAGTTTAAGTGTATTATTTACGATTAGAATACCTCTGTAGATACGATTGTATGCTTCTGTTCAGTATATTGCAAGCTTAAAATAATCAGGTCTTGAATGTTATAGGTTAGATACTTGTGTATTAATGTGTATTAATTTGTGCTCTGTTGCTATGCTTTCTTTCTCTTTTTTCAGGCTGCTGTGAAAACCTGTACAGTTTTCAGAAGTTTTGCTAAATGTGTCTCCTTTACTTCCATAGGTTGTGTAGCACGAACGGTAAATTCTCCCAACCAACATCTGTTAAGAACTGACGATGTTATTAGCTGCTGTTTGGACCTGAGTGCCCCCAGCATCTCTTTCCGGATAAATGGTCAGCCAGTTCAAGGGATGTTTGAGAATTTCAACATAGATGGCCTCTTCTTCCCAGTTGTCAGCTTCTCTGCAGGAATAAAGTTAGCATCCCATGTAGTTTTGTTTGTTTTTTCTTTTTTTTCCCTCAGTTTGTTGTGTGTTTTGTGTTTTTTTTCTGTATATGTGAATATGCTGAATATTTCCGCGGCTGTCTTTGCTCTCATTTCCCTTTCTGACATCTGCTTCTTTGGCACAGTTCCAGTTCTTGGATAGCAAGAGCTACGAAGGAGTCCTGAGGAGATAGTGCATCTGTTGTTTTTCAGCACACCAGTGTATTCAGGTGGTTTGCAGATAGACCTTAGAAACAGCTTCTTTATAATTTCTTAGCTGACACACTGCTACACATTCACTCCAGGACAGCATTTTGCCTACATAGGAAGAAAAACATCAGCCTTTGATATTAAAAATATATTTGCCCTAAGTCACTTGTTATGAGGTAGTGTCTATTACTTGAAGGTGCATTATCTGCACTTACCTTAAGAAATGGTGGTGGTACACTTTCTTTTCAGCAGGATGAGTTCATATGAATTCAGTCAGTCTGTATTCTGGTTGCTGTACTGGTTTTCTATAAAATTTCAAGTCACACTTGAGGTGCCAGACTTCTGCTTCCATGTATTGAACAGTTTGAGACTATAATATTAAAAAAGATTGTGTGATGTTACTACGAGGGGACCAACTTTAGCAGGGCTGGCAACGGTAAAGGCTGAAAGCTGATTTCTGTTGGAGGCAGAGCAATGCTATAAGATACTCAGTAAATAGAAAAGAGACAAAATGATTCTGTTGTAAGGCTAGTTTTTTGGGTGTTTTTTGATTCTTTCTGAATGGCAATGTTCTGCGAAGATTTTTTTCAGTGTTATGTCATTGCTACTTCATGATCACCTCATTCATTGAATTTTTCAGTAACAAAAACCCATGACAAGTTCACCAGTTTATAATGAATGAAAGAATGCTTTCCCCTAGGTTTCTACTAACATGACAAGTATAAGTTTTAGGGAAGAAAATATACTTTTTGTATTGTGTCCTAAGGATTTATTGTTCTGTGAGAGAGAAGAAAGAACCGTTTTCCATGGAGTTTTCAGACTCATTCCTCAAATGAGAGAGAATGGAGAACTCCTCAATGACGAGAGTTCAGAGGTGGTTGATTGATTACTGTGGGTTATAATCTCTGCCTTCTGCAACTCAAAAGCTTGCTGGTTACTTCATAGGTGTGCTAAGTAAACTGATTATTCTGTCTGTCTCTCTGTGTCTTCTCCTTTTGTCTCATGATTTACAATACTTTTATGGAAGTGGAAATTAACTGAAAGAAAGAATTGTTTACTTTTCCCCATGTTTTTTGCACCTCTTACTTCATAAACTCCAGCACTAGTTAGAGAAAGTTAAACCGTAAACAATTCAAAGAAGCTGCAACATTGAAATTAGTTTTTTTTCCTTTTTTTAAAAATAGAGTTCAATAGTTGTGAGGCTTACAAACTGATCACGTTTGACACCAGAGGTGTCTCAGTTATCTAAAGTAACTCTGATGTTTACAGGGTACGTTTCTTGCTTGGAGGTCGCCACGGAGAATTCAAGTTCCTTCCTCCACCTGGGTATGCCCCGTGCTTTGAAGCTGTCCTGCCAAAAGAGAAGCTGAAAGTGGAGCACAGCCGAGAGTACAAGCAGGATCGTAGCTATACAAGAGACCTGCTGGGTCCCACCATCTCTCTGTCACAAGCAGCTTTCACTCCAGTTCCTGTAGATACTAGCCAGGTATGGAAATGGAAAGACTGCATTTTTGTTTTAAAACACACATGTTATAGGCCTATGTTATTTCACATTTGATTGAATTTGCAGCTTGTCTCAAACTTATTTTTTCTTGGGATTTGGTTGGTAGGTTCCATTACGAGAAGCTGATAAATGGTGCGTAAAGTCCTTATAGTGCTCACTAGAAATTGCGTATATTTCAGTTCAAAAACACTGTAATAAAGAATGTTCTACTCTATTAGAGTAGGCAAAAAAGAATATTGGAACTTCTTATTCTGTTACTAGACATTTTTATTACTGTTTAATTACAATTAGTGAAGACTTTGCGTTATGGTAAGACTTTTAGCCCAGCTTCAGTTCTAATTGTTTACTGGACTTGCAGGTTACTGACAGTGGCATTTGATTCACTGTGGGCAGTAAGTGGCATGCATTGAAGTTATAGTTTCTTCTTTTTTTTTTGTGTTGTGGGTTGTTTTTTGTTTGTTTGTTTGGGTTTTTTTTTGTTTTTGTTTTTTTTAATATAGTTGCAAAGAGCAGTAGTTCTTTGTTACCAAATTGCTCAATCTCTGATCACAGATAACAAGAGTTCATTTTACACTTGACCAGAGTTTGGGATGATACAAATTTTTGTACACTATGTGCTCAGATTTTACGGTATTTAGGAGCTCATTCCTGAAAAAAACACATTAAAAAGAACAAACCTGCTAGTTTGCTGCTATTATGCACTAAATACAGTATTCTACATGTGTCATGTAATTATTGTTCTGTACCACCAACAATTAGGATAACATTATCATGATTCACAGCACTGTATATTTGAGGTCTCTGGTTTTTGAGGTAAAGCAGACTTGATTTCAAATTTTGGAGGCAGAGTGACATGCTGAACTGATTTCACTTGACACCTGTCATCATCATCTAACTTTTTTTTTTAATGGGGTTCAGTTCTCAAATGCTTATATTTGTCTGAAGTGTTTTTCACAACGTTACCTTGGTTGTTGAGATTTTTAGCATTTTTTAAGCAGTTGGATTTAAAACTGTTTTCCCTTGTTGCACAAACTCTGGAACTTGTAAGTGCATAGGTTAAAGAATTTCTGTTGATGTAAGAATTCTCGCTGGCTTTAGTCATTAAGAACTGAATGACAATTTAGGTTTAGTTGAGAGATCTGGTTTGTACAAAGTTTGTTATGAAAGTTTGGGTGGCACTGTCAAGCAACTTGTTTGTAATAGCTTCTTTCTCTCTTCTCTCTTTAGATTGTTTTGCCTCCCCACTTGGAAAGGATTCGAGAAAAATTAGCAGAGAACATCCATGAACTTTGGGTTATGAATAAGATTGAACTTGGCTGGCAGTACGGACCAGTATGTACTTTCCAACTTAATTTTCTGTTAATTATGTAGTATTATTCAGCAGAGTGGTTTCAGTGTGCTAATGGGATTGCATTTTTTCCATCCTTCCAGAATTAGTAAGGTTTTAGACCCTTTCTACCAGAAGCAGGTGGAAACCAACAGTGTTTGTGTATTTCTGAACCAAAATTCTGGTATTAAAGCTGTTTGGTGCCGAAATTCTCAGGCAGTCTAACTGCCAGCACAGAAAACACATAGTGGGTTTTTCACCTTCTGTTTGTTCTTGGGGCAAGAAGTTTAGTTACGTGGTGGACTAAGCCAGTGAAAGCAGTTATTCTTGATTCTCATCACACATACTGACTGATATAACTCTTTCTGAAGTCCCAAACTTATTTTTCATGAAAAAGAAGTATTGCTTATAGGAAATTCCATTAAATCTGCTTTTCTCCTTCCTTCTCTCCACTTCAGGTTCAGGTCTGTATTAGGTGCTCCGCATAGCTATTTTCTTACCTCTTTCCTACTTTTCATGGAGTATGATGGAAAAAAAATACGTGGCTTCTGGCTTTGATGCACCATGCAGTCTATTTTGTTGATTAATTTGGGTTTTTTTAAATGAATCATTAAAAATGTATATAAACTATTTATTTGGATCCCAAATGGTGGTGTTTATGAACAACTACTGCTGTGAAGAGTATATAGAAACATAGATACTAGATGTAAACGTAAAAACATGTATGCACGTATAGAAACATATATGTATTGTATTTTTGTTACTAAAAAGATTTTGGTTTTCTGAAGAGTTCAGATTACAGATTTTATGTAACTGGGCATAGGTGTTATATTTGGTATAGTATATGGCAGTACTTAAAAATATTTGATTAAGAGAGAAGATCTCTAGATTTTTTTTGTTGTCGTTGCTTTCCCCACCAAATCAAACACAAAACCCCAGTTAAATTATTGTGTCAAAACATTTTAATTGTGGTATAATCATACCAGCTGTAAAGCAATCTGCAGGAACTTTTAGTGTACCATCAAGAATCTAACTGTACAGTTGAACACTGTTTTAATTTAAACAATATATAGTATCAAGTTAAGCAGCAATAAATGTTGTAGTTGTATTCAGAATGAAACCAGGTGCTAAATCTTTTAAATTGTTCAGCTTTCTCTCTCTAGCTTTAGTGTTCTATGGTTGGATGTGCTCACTTTGGGAATGTAGCAATGTATATGCTGATCATCTTCTGGAGACTGACTCCTTTATCAGATGATTTCATCAGTTTAAGCCGCTGTTGCCAATTCTAGTTGTCTGAATTGATGCACTGCAGTTACTGAGTACTGAGGGAAGGCATGAAACAGAAATTAGCTGGTTTAGATGCACAGGTATAAATCCTCTAATCTTAGTTAGATTTGGTCTTTTTAATTCAGAGCAAGATGCATTATATGTAGTAGCTAGTGGTGTTTTTTCACCAAGTCAAAAAAAGTTTAAAGGCTGAATTACAGAGAATCTGTAAATTTAAATGTCTCTCCAGATTATTAAAAAAATCTGCTGTGGATTGCATTTTATGTTCCCTCCTACATACCTGTTTCACCAGGTCTGTGCGTAGTATCACCAAGGTGATACCCACTATTGCATGCGGTATTACTACTGCATTTTATACATGTAGCAAAGTAAAATAACAAGTTAATGTAGCAAAACTAAGTACTTTTGTTAAATGGCTTTGTTGTAAGTCTCAATATGAGTGGTATTTAGGTGTCCAACTTGAAATCATCAGATGCACCTGCTTATCTTCATTTCTAGTAAACCTCACTGTACATTTAAAACTAGCTGCAAAAACTAAGAATTGATAGGTGTCAGGAGTTCTACCACTTATATAACGTATTTGCAAGGCATTAGATTTTTATATTGTGCTCAGAAAAAAAAAAGGGGGGGGACAGGAAGGAAGCCTATGAAATATGTTGAATAGAGAACAGAAGTATTATACATTGTAGCTGTAGAGTGAAAAGAGTGTCACTAGGGGAAATTCAATTAACATTGGAATTCTGAGGAAAACACCTGATGTCCATGATTTGAATTAGCTATACACAGATCTAAAGTAGTCCTTATTGGAGACTACACTGAATCTTTATTAATGCAGATTACCATAGGTCTTAGAAAGAAATCTGCAAATAAACATTTTCAGTGTCTGCTAAAAGATGTTTCTTATTTTAGCTGCTAATGATTTTGATCAAGTAGCTTGCCAGTTGAATTCCATGTATTGCCTGTCCAAAGAACATTAATCCCATCAAATGAAGATAAATATCCCCTGGAGATGGTAAATATTTTTCAATCCAAAACATAAACACATGACTGCTGTTTACTTTGATAATTATTATGTGCTTAGATCAAAATGCAGAAATATGCCACTCAGAAATGTTATAGAGAAATGTGAGATTTTTTTCATGAGTTTAAATAAACTCAATTGAGTAGTAGTGTACAGTTTAGTTATTGTTATAGAAAAACACTGAACTGGCAAAACCAGAAGATGATAAATAAAAAATAAATTTCAACTATCAGTGATCCATGTTCATATTCACTCTGTGAGTACTCATGTATAATTAATACTCAGAACTTGAAATTAGAGAAACTTTATAAAAAGATTATGGTTTGCAGAGGACTGTTTTTCCTTCCCCTGCTCTAACACACAATGTTTATGTCCCAATATTATGGTTTTATTTAAGTGTAATCTTTGATACTGTATATGGATTTATTGCCGTGATGCTAGACCTTTTAATTTTAAGACATTTGCATTAAAATATCCAAAGAAAAGGTCTTTTATTTGATGCAATATGCAAGGCAAGCAATCAATTTAAATACGATGGATTATTTTTCTGAAAGTCAGAAATTTCCTGCCAGTTTATATGCTACTGACTTTCTCATCCTTTTTAAACATCAAATCTGAATCTGTATATGAACAACAGATCAAGCTGTTGAGAACAGATTATATCCAGTTCAATGGTATCATTTCACTGAGAATTCCTGCCTTGGTCACATATTCGCCAAATGAGTAAAGATCAATTTGGAAAAAGTATAACAGTTAGGCCTCTTAACTTCAACTGTTAACATTCCATTTTCCAGCAGAATTATCTGATTGATCAAAAGTTGCCAATAATACTATTTTTCAATAACTTTCACCTTGCAGCTTTAAAGGTTAATGTAAATGATGAGCTAATGGCCCACAAAAGATGGACACAAAAGTGTTTTAATATATGGATAAAAACGTAGGCTCAACTAAGCAAATGTTAACACTTCCTTTGGGATCTTTTAGCTAATTTTGCAAACTAATGTTTTTTATCATGCCCTCTAGCAAGACATAATCTTTGTAGATTTTGTTGACTGAGCTCTCACACGTTAAAGATGCAAAGGTGAGAGCAGCAGAATGCTCAGTTATCCCAGCCTCTCAGGTTGCCCTTCCTAGTTACAGCCAGTATTAGTCTAAAACTGTATAGAAGTTGTGTAGGGTAAAAATGGTTTTGATGAAATTTTGAAGTTTATAAAAGGTAGGATTTTGTAAGTTATAGTCTTCATGACTCTACTGTCACTACAGTAAAAAAAGTAAATTAATGTTCCAGTCCTTTATGACTGCCAAACAGTTGCATTCTGCTTGTATACTACTGGGCGTAACTAAGAAACAAACGCTTGCTGAATTAAGAGATAGAGTAGGTTTATCCTTTATATTGTTACTTTTGTCAGGTAAGGACTTCAGTATTATTCATTTCAACATATTTATACAAACTGGATGTATAATTTTTCAAACATGCTGCTGAAGCTGAGTTATTTTCTGGCTGTATTTCAAGACATAATATAGATTGCAATATTCTTGAACTTTGCATATTTGTTGTGAACATCTCTATAATGAAATGTACAAATTAGCATTTATTCCACTTGAGATCTGCAAATCTGAAGTTTATTTGCAAATGCAGATTCCGCCTTACTTGAACAGAATGATCCTGCTCTGAGAATACAGAATACTTTCTGTTTTGAAGTGTTGTTCAGTTTGAGTAATTCTGCCAGGATCAGCCTTAACTACTTTGTGTTTTGGACTGTTTTTAGATTTCTTCTATATTTTAAGACATATTAAACATACATCTTTACTTTCTTTTCAGGTTAGAGATGACAACAAAAGACAACACCCATGCTTAGTGGAGTTCTCAAAATTGCCGGAACAGGAAAGAAATTATAACTTGCAGATGTCACTTGAAACACTGAAGTAAGTTGCTAGCACTTTTGAAGCTTATAGTGAGAGTTTCCTTAGGAGCTGCAGTTCCCAGAATTATATTTTGACCTTTTTTTTTTTTCTTGTTAAAATATAGTTGCTTTGTCCTGTTCAGAGCATTAACAAAGGATGACTATCTGCAGCTGAATTACTTTTCTGGGAATATTTGTACTATATTATTTTAAAAATTGCCATGTAAACTGATAGTGCACTAGAGTGTTTACACTCATAATATAAGGACTTTATGTCCTCATAGTAGAAAGCTAGGTAGAACACTCCTAGAATTTCTCATCCTGTCCTTCTCTGGTCAGCTTCTCTGTGCTATTTACTGATCCACCCTTCCCACACTAACTAAATTATTTGACAAAAAACATATTTATGACCCTAAGTGTGAAACAGGTTCTGGAGGGATATTTTGACATTAGTTAGAGATAAAGCATTCAGAGATAAATGGATCTCCATTGGAGGCAAGAAAACAAGTTCATAGTTGTCTTCAGCTAGTTATTAGAATTTCAAGGAAGGCTTTTGAGACCCCTGTCAACACAGCAGTGTGCTAAGAATCTAGAATAGCTTCTTCTGTTCCGTTTTATGAAACTACAAAAGATGATGTCATTAACTTTCCTTACAGTTGGATCTATTGCTAGAATAATCTATTTAATAGGACTCAGGCATCATAAAAATCATGCTTTTAGAAGTAAATGCATACTCCTAATGTTTCACTGAATATTAAACAAATTGTAGTAGTCCTTACATGATTACTGGTTCAGGACCCAATGCTTTTCTAATCTAACTCTGACAAAACAAAAAATAATTTGGTTTTATAAACATATAAATTATGAATTACTTTTATTTTACTAATTTTATTACTTACTCTGGAGAGAGCCTTTTCGTTAAATGGATAGTATCCAAAAAATAAAGCATTCAGCCTTTCTATGGATTTCAAAATTTGTATGCTTACTGAGCTCAGTCTTCATTGCGCTCTTGTATTAGACCTTGTTTTCTGAATTATACAATTCTAATTTTGCAACATCATGTTGTATTTATCACATAGACGTCTATTGTTCAGGGACTAGAATATGAGTGTCTCTCACAGTTCATTTCTGCAAGCTTGCAAAGGTGGAAAAATTAGCGCAGTAATGTATTCTAGATGATCCATACTGTGGTGACTTCAGTTGTAATCTCCTTTGACTATTTCATTACCAGATGTTTCTAGTCTACTAGCAGTCAACTTCAGTGGGAGAGAATGAGGAAGAGCGAAAGAAAATGTTCTTTTAAAACTGCATCTAGTCAGCCACATGCTATATTCTTTACAATTTACATCGAATTGCGTACTGCATACTTGAACTAGTTGCAAGACATCAAGAATAACTCTTACTGTAATTGGTTTTTTTTGTTGGTTTGTTGCCAGTTTTGCTGCCAGCTCTACATGAGAGAGGGAGAAAACAAGGAAGTTCTGAGTCATATTATCTGATACAGCATTTCTTTTCAATATATTGGGATCTCTGTATCTTTTTCAGTCTGATTGAATACTGTTATGAACTATAAAAATGATATACTATATGAAATGTCAAGATTCAGGAATGAGTTACCTTGGAAAATGTCATGGGATTAAAATACGCTTGCTCATACTGTTTCTGGACATTCTTATATATATTTTGTAGTTTGACCTTGTATTTTTTTATGCTTACTGTTTTGTGACTGACTTTCCCATTTACGTCCTATTTACTCAGTTGTGTGTGATAATTACGTGTATCAATATTATGCTGAGGGCTGCATTCAGCCACTTCTAGTTTTCTTGGTTAGCTTTGCAGTCCTTTAGGGGTCTTTCAGGTTCTACCACTATGGTATGCCTTTTTATCTTCCTGTGGCTCTCTGATTTGAATTTGCTGTGTCTGTGTGGAGATAATGTAGCGTTCAAATTGCTGTCTTGTATTACAAGAAAATTGGAGTTACCAGGGGTTAGCTCCTCTGTACTGCTTTCCACTGTTAGATATGTTCTCTTCCTTAAGCTGGTGATAGCTGCATAGGAATCGTGTACAATTTATGCCAATTGAAATTTAGCTGCATGGAGTATTCTTAGCAGATAGTGTGTTTTGCAGGAGGTGGCCACTGCATTTTGATTTCCTCATATCTTATTTTACCATCTAATTTTAAATCGGGGTTCACAGACCGTAACAGTAGGATTTACTTCATGTAGGTAGCACTAAAAATATGCTGTTAGAATCTCCTTGAAACATAGGATTCATCTGCCAGGAGAAATACTGCTAGAGCAATATTTATGCTCTTTTTTCCCCCAGTCAGTTAAAGAGCAGTAAATATAGTCAAAACAAGACTAGAAAGTATTGTTTTAGCTAGTGACAAGAACAAATACAAACCTTGTTTTTCAACTTTCTTCCACGTTGGGAAAACCAGGAATGGAGTCCAAGGTTTTACACTTGTGATTTCTTCTGCGTAATCAATTTCAATCAAAGATGTGGGTGTCACCCTCAGATTTTGAGAAACTTCTAATCTGACTCCAAAGTGCTCTCTGACTTTTGTCCAGGATTTCTTTTCATTTCAATGTCAATATTTTGGTTATGCACATAGGCTAAAGAAACTAAGACTTGATAACCCAGCATTGAATGTAAATGCAGGAACAAATACTTGATGAGTTACAGATCAAATCCTGGAGACAAATGAGACTTAAGATTTATCGTGTGACTGTAAGGAAAGGAAGAGGTCTAAAGTAATCAGAAACGTGATTAATAATGTTAACCCTGTTGTAAGGTTACGTGGAGAGTGTTTGTTTTCTGAAATGAGCTGCACCTTGCAGAGTCAGGCTTGAATGGTCTGCCTGGGTCAGTGGCTCTGTGGTAGAAGCCTTGCGGTACACGAAACACCGTCTCTAGCTTGAATCCTCTTCTCTGAAGCGGATTAACATGGACATCCATACCAAGCATTAAGATGGCAGTTTTGGCCTAATGCTTATCATGCATTCTGCTGTCAGTCCTCTCTTCAGTAGCACATCTGAACAAAATCCAGATCCAATTAAACTCTCTGAAGAACAGCCTCTCTTTGTAAAGAAGGCACATTCTAAGGATAACAAGTGACATTTCCTGCCTTTTCTCCTTTCATCAGCTTTGAAGTAAATAACATAACATAAATGATTTTGATATAGAGCAGTATGAATGAGTATATAAGCAGTATGAATAAGTATATAAAGCAGAAAGATATACTTCAAGGGTAAGGAATCTTTCAGCTGATGCCTCATGTAGATGAAATAGACTGTATGATAGTTCTATTTTGAAGTAGTCCACCCATATTTTTCCTAAAATCTTTAGGAACATCTTGCAGCATTTTCTTAACACTATCAGAAAGCTTATTACATAGGCAAAAGGCAGGTGTTGATCTTTGCATATTATATTGTTGTTGTTCCCATAGGTCTCACTTGTTGTATAGTGCCATTTATAGACACAGCAGCAACAATAGAAATATTGGCAGTAATTTGTCTCTGATTTCTGTGTCCTAGAACCCTGCTGGCATTAGGCTGCCATGTTGGAATTGCTGATGAACATGCTGAAGAAAAAGTGAAAAAAATGAAACTTCCAAAGAAGTAAGTTGAAATTCAAATGCATCTTTTTGCTAGGCAGTGTGAGTTAAGCGAACTGTATTTTAAGAATTTGATACTTATATTGCTAGTATTATTGGTAATTGGGTATGCATGTATGCCTATAAATTTTCTGAAATCAATTTGATATTTATATTGCTAGTATTATTGGTAATTGGGAATGCATGTATGCCTATAAATTTTCTGAAATTTGCACACACCTTCATCCACACCTTTTCTTTTAGATGTTTACGATCTGATGTGTAGACAAAGTTTAGGTTTTTGGTGATTCATTTAAATGTCTGACGTTCATTGTTACGTAGTTCTTTTATCTATGGAGTGTACTAAAGAAACTTGATAAAGAATTTTCACAGCAAACTTGTCAATATATTTTGCTGTGCTGCAAATATTTAAAGGTAACCCTTTTGAAAGTCCTAGAAGGGCCATCTAGTGACTTGAAGTGGAGAGTTCTGGTATAGCTGCCCAACTTTTTTTCCCGAGTGATTGCTTGGCAACAGCATTGGTAGGACTGGGCTCAGGCTGGTG